ATTTCAGCATCTGCTTAGGTGGATTGCGGCAGTCAGGAGCCAAATGTCCGAAACGATGACACAGGATACACTTGAGTTGCGGTTTCCGCGACGCTTCGGTAGGTTTTCCACTGGATTCTTTCGCGGGGTCAGGACCTTTTCCTATATTAGTCAAATTCTGCGCCTCAAGGAAGCGATCCGTCAAATCAGCGAGTTCATCTAGTGACTTGCACTCTCGCTCTTTTAAGAAAACAACCAGCTTTGGATGGCAACAACGCAAGAATTGCTCAGAGATTACGTGATCCCTTAGACCTTCATAGGTTTGGGATACGTTTGCCATGTCTATCCAATGGTCGAAATAACTGGTAATTCTTGCTGCTAACTGTCGTCCAGTTTCACCATCTGCTGCTCGTGCTTTCCGAAACTTATCTTGGTAGCCTTGAGCCGTAAACTGAAATCTCTGCAGTAGAGCTTTCTTTACTTTTTGGTAGTCCAGCGAATCAGCGGCAGTCATTCGGCCTATCACGGTTAACGCGTCCCCCGTTAGGCACAGGCTAACAGCGAGACCCCATTTTTCTTGCGGCCAATCCTGTCCTGTGGCTACGCGCTCGAATCGCTGCAGATACGCGTGCAGATCATCGCGTTTTTCGTCAAATACAGGCAGTAACTTCTGCGGATTGAGGGGTGAGGAGGTGCTGGGCGCAGTCAAAGCGTCATTAGCTGCTACAGGCATGTTCTGAGCTCCTTCCTGAAGCTTTAGCTTAAGCTGCAGAATTTCACGCTGCCTCTCGTCAGCTTCTTTGGCTGCCTTTCGCTCTGCAGCTCTCTCATCCCTTAGCTTAGCCTGTTGGGCCTCAATCCACTTGTTTAGCTCTGCACCCGAGAACCCTAGTTGGAGCCCTATAGCGGCGAGTTTTTCCAAGTCCATGGTGCAGTCTGAACGTGTGTCTGCCTCGAGCGAAACTGTCTTCTTTCACTGGTTTAACGAGCGGATCCTGGCAGGCTCGGCAGTTTGTGATGTTATTGGGGCAGGACCGCTCCAGAAAGAATCAGACAGCACGCCAGTGCACAAACACACGTCCAACTTCTATTGTACCCTTCACCCATGGACAACCCACACGTTACGAAGTTCCTAACACAAAAACACGCGGCTAAACTAAATGAATAAGTAGAACGTTCGGCCTACAGTTCAGGTCGTCGGGGTAGTAGCCTGGGCCGTCGTTGATGCCCCGTCGGCAACATTCAGTGGCGAAGTCGACGTTGGGCGGCGTCGTCACCTGCAGTGACGAAGTCGGGAGACGCAGGGTCGCCGCGTCGAACTCCAGTGGCTCAGCGCCACTGTCGACGAACTGGAGCCTACGACCCACGTGTTCCGGCGGCAGGGAGTGGTGCCCTTGAGCACCTGTAGTCCGCCTCGGAAACCCACGCCAGCCCTCCTGGAACAGCGGCGCAAGGGCAGGTTCAGGCACCCGGCGCCAGCTCTCCACGACCAGCGGGACAAGGACAGGTTCAGGAACCTGGCGCCAGCTCTCCTAGACCGGTCGTCTAGCGGAGGCTGAGCTGTTCACTCGGCTGGTACGAGTGTCGCGACGTGGCCTGGGTCGTACCTATGGGCCAGACGCCCAACGAGGTAGTCCTGCCTCGAACTACGTACCTCGCGCACTGCCGAAGGCACGGGTCACGCACCCTCGAGGCCGCGCCTCACGAGCTGTCGTCTTCCTCGTAGGCACCGCACGGCACATACACGCACACATCACATCCTCTTCGCCACCGCACGGCACACTATTGTCGTTTTTTTTTTTTAGTTTCTGTTTCGCGTCCGCGCAGCACATATTATGACAAGGGTCATGTTTAGATTCGGCAGCAGCATACATGTTTCCAGTGAAGCTTCTGCCCTCTCCTTGCAAACGACACTTGCGAATGTGGCGAGGAACCTGGTGTAAAAAATGTCCCACGTTGTCAGGCTGCGCTCTTGGTTCTCGAATCAGGTCTGAGCGGTGTCTTCCAAAGTGAAATAGACATGCCATAGCTTTTCATCGTTGTTCCAATGGTTGAGAACGGCAATACAGTCGTATGCTTCCAGCCAGCTTTCTGAATCTTTGACTGAATGTCTGCTAAACGTTCATTGTTCTTCAGGCTGCTGGAGCAGGATTGATGTAGGTGGCACAGGGGTTGTCATCATGCCTGTGGTCGAGGTCACCGTCTTGGAGTGTCTGTTGCTTTCGGTAAAAAGACCGTTCTCTGGCTCGAGGCCCCTCTGCCTATGGCAACTTTGATTTGGGTTGTCCCTTGCGTCGTGTTCTTCATGGCATGGCCTTTGTGTCAGCTTCTTGGTGGCTTGGGCCTGTAGTTCACGGGGGCATCCAGAATGTTGACCAAGCAGCACCTCCACAATATGTCACGGTGTCACGACGTTGATGGGGGCAGCAGTCAGTGTATCAAAGATGAAACTATTTATTTGACCGAACTTGTGGCCAGGCAACAAAATCAAATTACAGCAAACAATGCATGTTGTACACTGATAATGGCGAAAAGAGCGTCAGGCGTCGATAATCTGATTATCGTTGGGATGCATCATCTTTTATACATCATGCATTGAATATTCCAGTCTTATCACTGGTGGTCGCGCAAGCTCTGAAATAAGCTTGACTCTTTGCGTCCCGTGCAAAATCTTGACAAAACAATCTACTACAATTGCAAAGTTTCTTGAACACTGAGGTGTGGTCTGGGCCAAGCACTGCTGACAATCTTTGTGGGTATAAACGAAATACAGCAAAATCAAAATAAGAAATGCGTGTGGCAGTTTAACTGGTAGTCGGTCTTAGAAGAGTGAAATGTAAATAGCACATGCAGAAGCTCCACAGGATACAGCACCAGTGATAATTGATGTGATCTGCCCTGATAGAGCAAGGGATATAGGTTTCTATTATCAATGCTTAAATCAGTGGACTTGTAGCTTTAACCGAAAAATGCCATTGTCATTATACCATCATTATTATGCCACCTAAAGGAATTGGTTATGACAGTTATGAGACTGAGAAGCATGAATGGAATTCTTCAACAGTTGTAACACTAGCAGAGATGGTATGTGTTGTAATACTTCACTGCTGGCAGCGGTGAATTACAATGACAGGATGAATTCAGCTGTGGATAATTGGAAAGACGAAGTTCTTTACAAGAATCACGCATACAAGGATAGAGGACTTGTAACATTTTTTAACACTTCCTTCAATGTCTTCTTGAACAACTTGGGTGTAGAGTATGGGAGGGTGAGTTGATTGTGGGCACGTGAAGGGTACAAGTATATTCTCCTTCAGAAGTTGACATCTGCTGTATAATTATTACGAACTTAAAGCATAAGCAGTCAGTATAATGGGCAGAGCATTCTAAGAATTCTCATATCACAATATTTATTATCCTTTAAAATGTCTTATACCAACTTTATTGATAGTTATTTACATTATACAGTAAATGTGAAGCAATACGAGTCATTAATGGCTGAGAAACATAAAAGTTTAGTGGCATAAATGTTTGTCCAAAACAAACTATACTTTACACATAGTCATGGCACAAAATGAAAACTGTGCAACTGTCGCTGGTCCCGTTAATTACAGAGGCAATCGCCGAGCTCATTCCAAGTGCCGAAGTATCAGCCCCCCGAACTGCATTATGAAAGCACGGACAATTTAGATGTTGTCTTATTTGGTGCACCAGCGAACACCGGCTGTGGTCCAAAGAAGGAGTCAGAGCCGAGAGTTGATAAACAGACAAAAATATATTCTCAAACATGGCAGACCAAGCTACACACAAATATGCACTCTCGGCAATAGTCCAATACAATATGTTGCCACACAGACAACAGGCTACACAACACAACCAGCTACACTCAAAACAACGGACACGAACAACATCACACACTACAATGCAATCTCATGCATTAAACAACCAGGGCACTTAAAGACTAAAAGGTACGTCAACTTATTCAGTCCGAAGTTCTTGGAACAAAGTTGGAATGATACTCTTCCAGGAATTACTCACTCAAAGTTCAGCTCTGTTGTCGTTCCGCTGCCCCCAAAGTTTCTCTTCTAGGAAACTTTGCCTCTTCAAATGTTCGCACTTCCAAGCACCATACTTCTTCGCCAGTAACACGTCAGCCTCCCACGTGCTGTGGCTGCAAAACGCGTCTTCGCCCCACTGGCGGTGATCACACACCTTTCTTCTGCTTGTAGTACAAGTCTTCACTTAAACTAGGTGGAAATCCTCTTCATCGCCTGCTTTGTCACTCAAGACACAAGCCTTCACCCCTCGGCAGAACAACGCTACGCACACTAGCGCAAACTTCCTTCATCTCCTGCTGTCCACAAATCGCTGCTCGCTTAAATACTTTCGCGCTAGGTTCCAGAAAATTCTTCGGCGCGTTGCACAGCTGAGGCTGGGGAAGGGGCGAGACGTTTCGAGATTTCTCCCCGACCCATGACGCAACCAGTAAGTGACTCATGCTTTCCTTCTCGATGGTTCCGGGAGCCACTCGACGAGACGTTTCCAGCAACATCCTCTAATGTCAAAGCGGTGGAAAGGGGGACCTCTCTCTCGTAAGGTGACGCAATTCTGCATCGCCACGCATCTTTTCTTCTAGATTTTTCCAGCGATATCTCGCCGACCGATGCAAGGAGGTTGGTCAGCGAAGTGACGTGTCCGCTGGGGAGAGTCGGCGCGCCCGAGGAGTTCTTTGATGTTTGTTTTTTTCTTTAACGCTGGCTTCGGAGGGCGACAATGTGGCACCCGATATTGTTGCCATCGCCGAAATTCGGAGGCGCGTGCTCTATTGCGTGCTCGTTTGTGGCAGTGACTTACCACTATAAAACTAATTACATATTTGAAATATGATTGTCCTAGGGTACAGAGAAATGCAATGTTTTTTTTTTTTCGAATCGCATCTCTCTTTAGTTAGTGTTTTTGCACTTCTTTAAAGTGTATGAATTGGGTTTCACTTACACAGTGTCCTTCTTCATTCTTTCAAGGAATGTCAAGGAAGACTTGGCATTTGCTGAGTCTCGTATCAGAGTCGAAACCATTGCAGCCGAAGATGTCCTGCATGACATTGGCGCCATCGGCATCTATACATCTGATGCACTCGTAAGTACTTCCATCTTTCATACCATGATTTTGCACCTGCAACTTTCTTCTTGAAATAACCTGTTGTTAATTGTGTTTGATGCAGCACATTTAGAAGTTTCCTAATTGTTCTGTATTTAACAAAAATCTTTTGTGCCACTTGAACCTGCATAAGATGACATATTGCCACTGAAAAGTTTGTGACAATCAAAAAGAGGACCACAAGCAGGACAAAGCAGTACTATTAACTGTTTGAGGCTGTGTTAATTTACGAGCGCTCTGGTAAAGTATTTTCTCTACAGTTAACCATTGTGCTTCTTGTTTTGTGTCAAATACTGAACATGGGGCTTTTATCACAACTGCATGCTCAGTTGGGTTTTCAAAACCTTTGTCGGAAAAGTATAGCAGATATTGATGGTCTTCTGTTGCCTGTAACACCAAAACAGTGTATACTTGACAAACCAGATTGACTCTTTTGTTGTTGATGACGATTTTTGGCAACAGAAGGTGATCAGTAACTGTAATGCATCATCTATGGGAGTAAAAGATCCTTATAGTGAATATATAGAAGCGGTACATTACTTTCAAACTCTGTGCTTCTAGGCAATGGGACGAATTGGCGAAGTCGTGAGCAGGGCCTGGCAGACTGCTGACAAGATGAAGATCTGTCGGGGCAAGCTGAAGGAGGACTCACCGAGCAACGACAATTTCAGAGTCCTCCGGTACCTTGCAAAGTACACCATCAACCCTGCACTTGCTCATGGAATCGACTACTACGTCGGATCTGTTACGGTTAGTTGATTGACTTTCTGGTGGATTGACTATATTGTGGGAGCTCAAGTAGGATTATGAAAAAATGCCAGGCCAGCGCTGAACGCGCACATAGTCACAGCACAAGCTGGAAGAGAGGCCTTTCTGGACTTCGTTGAAATTTGCTTGAGGCTACTACAGCAAGACCAGTGACAAGGTGCCGACTACACCAGGAGTTCTCACACTTTCTGGCCTTGGGGAACCTCAATGGCTTTTTCAGAGTCCCACGGAACCCCTAACCTTTTTTTTATCATGACGACTACCAGGGCCCAGTGAAAATATTCCTACTGGGAGCAACTGGGGCCAGCTCAAAAGGTTTATTGTCAAATTCCCAGTGGGGATCAGTTGCCAGTGGAGCACGACTGGGACACATTGGCAACTGGTCCCCACTGGCAATTCGACCATAAACCACTTGAACTGGTCCCACATAAGATCCACTGGCAACTAGTCCCCACTAGAAATTAGAACATAAACTACTTGGACTAGTCCCAGTTGGGACCTACTGGCTACTAGTCCCCACTAGGAATTAGACCATAAACCACTTGAACTGGTCCCAATTATTTCCACTTGCCCGTGGACCCCTGCGGAGCATACAGCCGAAAAAGCTTGGCTTTGAGACGGAACTCCATTTATTAGAAACTTTGCTGATTGTACGCGGTTCATGAAGCATGTTGATTGCTTGTTTGAAAAGGAGGCAGACGCTTGCGATTTCAGAAATCTCTTGCATATGGGACCATCTGAAAGAAATATATACACAGTTAGCAAAAATGTAATGACCACTTTACACATGCAATACTACCAAAAAATTAAACTTAATCAACATCTAACTAGTATCAGCTTATTCTTAGAAAATCACGAAGTGTGCCCCTAAGTAAAGCCAATATTGCTCTCAACCAAAACACAAGTACTATAGTCGCATTTACAGATAGCTCCTGTTAGCAGAAACTGTGGCTCTTAATGCACATCTCTTAATACATGACTCAATTTATGAATTATACCATTTTGAGATATTTGTATGAAGCAATCGTAAGTGAGGTCCTCCTCAATGTGCCTTTAAAAATGCGATTGCAGTTCTCTACGAATATCATTAAAGTACAGTCAACAACGTCAACAACAAATAGGCACAGGTTTATGTATACATTACAACAAATACATTACAACATTACAATGTATACATTACAATATGTATACATTACAACAAAAATGTATACATTACAACAAACAACAAATAGGCACACCTTTAATGTATACCTCTACACTTTATACACGCAGAGAACCTTTGGAAATATTTTTTAAAGAATAAATTTTTCTTGATTCCTCCCAACAGCTCTCTATTGAATAGCTGGCATAAATTTCTGCCAAATATTACTGCTCAACACGGTCAGATTGCACGCCTGACACCTTAATTTGATATTTCACTTGCAAAGGTTTTTTTTTATTACAAAACTTTGATGTCACTGTAGCATAACCCTTGAGCGGCCACGAGTGCATTTTCTCCACAACACGCCCACATCGGTTCGCGCAAAGGTCTATCAAAAATCACTGTGTTGCCAAAACAGGCAAATTCGAATTGATTCTGAAAGTTGAGTGGCTGGACTAACTGCTAGAAAGTGCTGGGTGTGTGAGAAACAAGGGTAACATGACAGAATTGAAGATGCAAAGCATTGATCATCGGTGATAAATTTAAATAGATGTGGCAACGAAAAAGTTAATGCATAAAATTAACAGTGATGTTGCATAAAAAAACTCCAGGAGCCTGAATACAAAGTAAACATGCTCTTATATTCAAATGGCATGTGGCTCATAACTTAGCTATGCATAGTGAATAACCCTGTGGATTGCTACAGCTTTTGGCAACAATATATTGCCACATTTGTCTAATGAAGTCGACATACCCTTTGTTTTCTTCTGCAGCCTGGCAAGATTGCTGACCTAGTACTGTGGAAGCCATCCCTTTTCGGAGCCAAACCCGAGACGGTAATGAAAGGAGGCCAGATAATATCTGCCCAAATGGGTATGCATCTTTCACAATTTACCATAAAACGAAAAAATGGTCGTACACCTGCTTGCAGCATGAGGTCACAGCTGTCAGTTCTGATTGCACAGCATACACGTGAACATGCCTTGGATGATAGGGTCTGCCTCCAAGTGTCAAGTGCATGCTATAATTCCTTTTCTCCCTGCTGAGGGCTACAGTGCAGTTGAAGTTCATTGACGTATGAGTAATGCATATAACACAACTTTCATGAGTGAAAATAATGTGCGGTAGTGGTATAGGGAATCTCAAACCGGACGTACAGACGTTTATGATACGAGAGACAGGGAAGGAAGTGAGTGTCAGCTGATGACCTTATTCATCGAGTGTATCAGGTGATTCGGGACAGTCGTTGGGTCACTGTGTTTGTGTCGAGAGATTCGTCTTGTGGTCAGCTCTCTGCTCTATCGTGTGTGAGAGACTCTACGGCCACAAACTGCGTGCGAAGTGAGTTCCCCAAGATGCTGCCTGGCCATCACAAAATGCAGCGAGTGGGTGCGGCCTTAGCGTTTCTCCAGCGCTACCATGGTGGAAGCGGAGATTTTTTTCGAGAGACTGGTCATGTGGATAAGACATGGCTTCGTTTCAAAATTGAAGAAATGAAAGTGCAATCCGAACAACAGAAGCATTCTGATTCGCCAAAATTAAAGAAGCTCAAGCAAGCCATCTGTACAATATCATATGGCTACTGTGTGCAGGGACAGAAAAGCCAGTGCCGTTGCAGTCATGGTGGCAAATGTGGAACATTATTTTTGCCTGATGGCATCATGTAGCAAGTGATCTTTTGCGAGCTGACAGCTGACTGAAATGCCATCCAGTTTTCACCAAGTGTCAGTGAATACAACTGGTTTAGACAGGGTTTTGTTCCAAACTTTCAAGGTTCATATGGGCCGACATTGCTTAGGGTTTGCTGATATACAGTCTTTTTTAAAAATGTTTTGTCATGCAAGCTTTCGTGTTCAGCTGTACATGTAGCTGTATTGGTGTGTTAATTTTAGCAGGTTGTACATTACCAAATTATGACATGTAGATTGCCACTATCCCTCAAGAGGAAGTTATATAACAGCTGTATCTTGCCGGTACTTAGCTACGGAGCACAAACCTGGAGACTGGGTTCAAACCTGGGTTCAGCTTAAATTGAGGATGATGCAGCGAGCAACGGAAAGAAAAATGGTAGGTGTAACCTTAAGAGACAAGAAGAGAGCACAGAGGATTAGTGAACAAACGGGGGTTAAGGATATCATAGTTGAAATCAAGAAGAGGAAATGGACATGGGCCGGGCATGTAGCGCGTAGACATGATAACCGCTGGTCATTAAGGGTAACTAACTGGATTCTCAGAGAAGGCAAGCTGGTTAGGGGGAGACAGAAGATTAGGTTGGCAGATGAGATTAAGAAGTTTGCGGGTATAAATTGGCAGCAGCAAGCACAGGACCGGGTTAACTGGCGGAAACATGGGAGAAGCCTTTGTCCTGCAGTGGACGTAGTCAGGCTGATGATGATGATATTACCAAACTGAGAAGAAAAAAATGGTGCAAAAAACAAATTTAGTTGACAGAAGACAAGCTAGTAAAGTGTATGTATATGCAAATACTAAAACAATATTATAGAGGTTGTACTATTTTCTGTAAATTCCAAGACTTAGTGAAGAGGGGCTCTAGCTCCCCACAGAAGTGACATCCTAGCAAAATGCATTGCATGACACGGTTTGCTTTAAATTTGGAAAATTTCTCGACAGGTGTGGCAAATGGATCCATTCCGGTTTGCGAGCCAATAATTATGAGAGACATGTATGGTGCCCGTGGCCTCTCGGTTGGAAAAAACTCCGCTGTCTTTGTATCCAAGGTGAGTGCATTGTTGTGCTGCTCTTGGCGCTTTTTAGTTTTGCCACCTGTGTATAATGCCGCTGATGCTGATAATCAGTGACGGCTTTACATCATAGGCAAGGTTACTCTAAAGAGAAAGAAAGTACAGTCAAATCTCGTTATTGAGAGTTTCACGGGAATAGAAAAATTCCCGAATTAACTGAATGCTGAATTATTGAAAGTATCAAGAAAACAATAAGCAAGTGACTATTACATCTATGCACTCTCGCTTTCTTGATGAATACGTAAATGCAGAACTTTGGCATGCACAAGTGTAGTGGAAAAACCGTAATGTTCGTCATTCCCAACTTTATTCACAGTCTGACTGCGACTAAAGACTCCAATGTCTTGAACAGAAACCTGTTTTGAATCCATCCCTTATTACGTTCCACCAACACCACCACCATTCGTGACAGTAATTTTCTCGCTGGAAGAATGCCTGGCAACTTGTAGTTCATCCCAACGCCATGTAGCAAGTGAGTTTTATGCTAGCAGGTGGATTGTGGCTGAATGCTTCTCATCTAGCTTCAACAGCTTTTGCCATGTTTGTTTTGATGTATTGTGCTGCATAGCCCAAAGTCGAAATGTAGCTACTGAGTGCCGCATCTGCTGTAGAAAAAACACCATGGTCGATAACCACACACTCATAGTGCCCACGCAGCTTTGAAGGCACGTGCATGGCATAGGCTCACAGTCGAAATGAAATAGGTGAGAATTGCATCTCATGCTTAAGAAACCTGGTTTGATAATGCACGACCATGGATGGCGACACAGCGATTAAGGCATGAGGTGAAAATGGAAATACCACTTATCATAGCTTTCACCCCAGTTGGCATTAACACGATTATAGAGAGCAACCATGCAGTTGGTTTGCGCCGAGGAAGAATCAAAACCAAAAAGTTTGTCACAACCATTGAAGCCTTGATCATCAGCAACATGATTGTGATGAGATTGTGGATGCTGACCATGCATTTCTGAAGATCAGCAGCCATTACGCTTGTTTGCGAACACCATTTGAAATTTTTGTGTTGCATACATGGCGCTTCATGCTCGACGTGCTTCTAAAATTGCTTGAATTAACCCGGTTGTGGGCAAACAGGACTGAATTGACAAGAGTTTGATGCCATTAAACAACACTTATGATGTCTGGGACCAAAGAACAAGTCAGGAGTATCTGCTTTTTTCAATTAATGATGCTCAAAGTAACAAGCTTGAACTGTAGTCGATATCCTTATTTTGTAATGTATCATCGGAGAAGCTTCTTTACTTCAGAATGCCTCGAGCTTTGGCCACTTTTGGGGTCCTCAGGAATTGCATTGCCTTGATGTATTGGCCTGGTGTGCAGCCGATGGCGGTGCTGCAGAGCGCATTTTTATGATGCAAGTTCGAAGATTCAGATGCTTTTGAGGCGCAGCGTTGCTGTCAGTAATCTCGTTAATTAGGGAGGCAATCGCCGGGCTAATTCCTAGGGCTGAAGTATTGGGCCCCTGCACTGCACTACGAAAGTGCAGACAATTTTGATGTGGTCCTATTAATTTGGTGCCCTAGCGGACGCCGGCTGTGGTCCAAAGAACGAGTCAGAGCCGAGATTTCATAAACAAGCAAAAATGTATTCTCAAGTACGGCAAATTAAACAGCTCACAAATATGCACACTCGACAATACAATGCAATACATCACCAATTAACCAACGAGCTACAATATAGAATCAGATACACTCAAAATAACGGACACGAACAGCAACATGCGCTACAATTTAATCTCATGCATGAAACAACCAAGACACTTAAAGACTAAAAAGTTTGTCTACTTATTCAGTCCAAAGTTTTTGGAACAAGGTTTGAATGATAGTCTTCCAGGAATCACTCACTCAAATTCCTGCACTGTTGTTGTTCCACTGCCCCTGAGGTTTCTCTTCCAGGAAACCTTGCGTCGCCAAATGTCCGAACTCCAAGCACCAAACTTCTTCGCCGGTAACATGTCGGCTTCCCACGCGCTGCGGCTGCAAATGCGTCTTCACTCACTGGCTGTAATCACACACTCTTCTTCTGCTTGTAGCGCAAGCCTTCACCCAAACTAGGTGGAAATCCTCTTCAGCTCCTGCTTTGTCACTGAGGACAAAAGCCTTCGCCCTACGGCGGAACAACTCTACGCACACTGGTGCAAACTTTTCCTTCTTCCCCTGATCATCACTCTCCGCTGCTCACTTGAATACGTTTCGCCCTGAGTTCCAGAAAATTCTTCGGCGCATTCCACTGCCAAGGCCAGGGAAAAAGGCGAGCCTTTGCGAGAACAATCCAAGACACGTGACACAACTAGCGGGTGATTCACACTTTCCTTCTCGACGATTCTGAAAGCCACTCGGGGAGATGTTCCTAGTTGTTTTGACGGTGTTCTGCACCATCAGATCTTTGGAAGGGTGGGACCTCTCTCTTTTAAGGTGACGCAACTTTGCATCGCCATGCCCCTTTCCTTCAAGATTTTTCCAGCGATCTCTCACCGACCGATGCAAGGAGGTTGGTCGGCGAAACTGCTCTTCCGAGGGGGAGAGAAAGCACGCCCGAGGAGTCCTTTGATGCTTAATTTCTTCTTTTACGCTGGCTTTGGCGTGACTATCTAGCACCCAATATTGCCGCCGTCATCAGCATTCGGCGGCGCGTGCTTTCTGGAGCACTTGTTTATGACAGTCGCATAAAAGTCATCGTCGAGGTAAAACTCGGCAAGGAAGTGGTTCAATCGGTTATCTTGTGTGGTGACTACCGACGCTGATCTAACAACCATGGGTGTCTGATTTTAACATTCATTTTAAAAGCGCAGCATTTTGGTTATGAAAACTGCGGCTGCTTATCTCCACGGTGAGTGTTGTGCAATGGTGAATTATTCTTGTGTGCCTCTATATGATCACCCATCCGTGAAAATGGCGTTAGCTTTCACAACTATTCTAAGGACCCGAAGCTGGCTAAGAAGCGAATAGTCAAACTCGGAAAAGCAAAGTGCCCCACGCCTTCTTTGACTGTTTGCAGCAAGCACTTCGCTGACAGTGACTTTTGCTATACCCACTATACGCTCCACTCTTTGGTAAGCTTGCAACTATGTTTCAGGGTCTCACCAGTGCTTCAGCAAGTATTCATTGCATGCAGGCTACAGGTGTAGGCGAGATGCCGTGCCAAAACCCTCCGCAAAGGTCCCTAGACACGAAGCCGATGATGCGGTCTCGGAATCGCCTCGAATAAGCGCGCCTCATGTGTTAGTTGACCCTCGTGAGGCTGTTCGTTCGACAGAATTCCCGCCAGAAGCAGAGGATCCGTGCACAGGAGTAGTGGCTGCTGCAGCCCGGTTGAGAGCAAAGTCCACAAACTGATGTCACAAGTGAGAGGGCGCCACTCTAAGATCTTGAGGCCAACAGTCATGATCAAAGTGGCTTGCAACACAAGGAGCGCATGGCTTCATAACTTGAAAGATTTTCTCTCCAGTTTAACAACTAACTGTTATTGTCTTACTTGGCATCGTCCCCAAGTGAGAGAAGTGTATTATTTGTTAAGTTGCAGAAATAAAGAGCACAGTTGAACCCCTTTGTAACAGACATGCATCACTGGAACAGTTCTTGTCTTTTATGTGAGGTATCTCTTATAAACAGTGTACCATGTATGCATTTCTTTATCAACCCCTACTTCAATGTTGGCACAGTGATGTCTCTTATGCCCATTTTTCTCTTGCATCAGCGTCTCTCACTGAAGGATTCGAATGTAGTGGAAGCCACGGATGACATAAGTTGTCTGTGTGGTCTCTATATGCCCTTCATTCCCTTGTAGTTGTAGTTGTTCAAAGATACTTAGTTGAGCATTAATAAAAGTACTTTGTTTATAAAACAAAGGCACATGAGGTGTGCATGCAAGTGATCTTTTTGTTTTCACAAACTATGCCTTTGTCACCTCCGGCAATTTCATGAGGAATGAGGCGGCATATATAAATTGTGTTCCAGGCCACTAGTTGAGTTACCCTAGCTGTGGTAAGCCAAGCGGAAGCTTGAGCTCTAGAATTTTCTCTCCTCGTTTTTCTACTCGTCTCGATACGCCACCGAGTGTTATTCCCTCACATAGTGGTGTTCTTTGCAACATGGGAACGACCAGTATGAAAATCTCAGTGGAAACGTCCCATGCAACATTGGCAGCACTTTCTGGAGTAGGTGTGTTCTTCTACTAGAATGCAGCACAGTCCTACTTTATAGGAAAATGCTTGACAGTACTGCTTATGAATATAGTTTCACAGCACATGATGTCGTCATGGCTGGCTGCTGCAGTTGCTTCGGGGTGATCTCATCGTCAGTTATTCATGTTTTTGTATCTTTTATAATCTACTAAGCTATATCTCACTGTATGGGTGCCTTTTTTAATGTTGCAGAAGTTCGATTCCCCGGTACAGACTAACCGAATGTTTTTCTGTGGGGTCTGTTTAGGCACTTATCGAAAAGCTAACAGGCTTTCTGTGATTCATTCTGCTCCACACGTACACACACGCATAAGCACACAGATGCACATGCAAATGAAGAACAGCATAGCAATTCATATAGAAATATTAGCTTATTCAGTGACAGTAGTCTTGTTTTCATTAAAAAAGACACAGGAAGTAGTGGAGGGATTGTCATCTCCTTCAGAATGTGATGATACACTTCTTGCCGATTATTGTGAGGGACGCCAGACCAGTGATTCTCACGCCCTATGCCACATTTATTCTTCCTTCTAGGTCTCCCTGGAGAAGGGCATAGTTCTCGACTATGGGATTAAGAAGATGCTCCTGCCTGTGTCTGGCTCGAGGAAGCTGAGGAAAACAGACTTCGTACACAACAGCTTGACTCCGAAGCTCTCAGGTGTGTAGTCTGAGACACTTGTGTCTCGTTATAATTGATTAGCTGGATCTCAATACACTGTACCTCCCGTGCATTGCTCACAAATCTAATTGTAAATGGCTGCTGTAAAACATTTTGTCAATACACCAAGATGTTAGAGAAGCAGAAAGATACAGAAATGTACTATTGGAAGCAGTACGATCGGACACACGAAAGTTCATGGCAAATAGGCTTGAACCCGATGTTAAATTGAACAGAATGGAATCTGATATTGGGTGATTTACAGTGGTGGCTGATGGAAACAAAAGGAAAAAGGGTGCCACGGTTTCACTATATGTGGGCAGGGCCACTTTGCTGGTTCTGGCAAAATGTCGACTGATTAGGTGTCACCGGCCACTTGCAGTGATAAGGCTGGAAAATTAATCGAAGCACAGCAGTAAGCTGTCTATAACTTTGATCAAAATACTGCTGTTTCTCTGTTCATCTACCCATTTGTTTGTGAGTGCATTTGAGCGTGTCACGAGATAAGATCAAGATACAGCATTATGGTAGCAATAACAGAAGAAAAAATACTGCTCATTGCTGTGCTTCCACGTGCTGCCAAAGCTGACACGTGGTGGTAGTAAGAGCAGTGCATGAAAAATCGTTGCCATTTCCACCTTATTTTGAACAGCCTCATTTGAGTATCAATTTATTGAGGATTGGGGCTATTTGCCGTGCACTCGCGTGTTACCACTCGTAGTTCTGATGATGGTGCACTGGTGGAATATTTTAGGAGGACTTCAATAGCTAACAAGGTGGCAGGCAGTATGTGAAAATCACTAGATTCATCATCTTCAGCTTAATATTTAATGTCCTTTCAACAAGCCTTATTATCGCAGGCATTTTCAGTAGTACTTCAATAAACTGCTTTTATTCTCGGTCTGGGTATGATCATAAGCTTGTGCATCTTTTGGACAAATTACAGCCCATGCAGGGCCTTAGTCATACGATATCATACAAAATGGCAAATTGCAGCCTGTGATAGAGCCTTGTCCCTATGATATCATAAAAAGGTTGGGAGCTTGGCTGCCACCAAGGAACGTTATGAAAGTTTGGTTGTATTTTCTATATTTGTTTGGTGTAACCAATGATATGGCTGAACATAAAAAGGTGATTTTCATTGTACTTTCCTCGGCTTCATTACCGTTAGGTATATAAACACTTGACCTTTATGGCAGTTCCACTTTTGCTCAGGATCATTGTTTGGGCAGGTGAATGGCAAACTGCTACTACTGGCTCCTACACTCTAACTTCATCGTGACAATGTTGTATCTTGCATGAAAATAAGCTATTTATATCCAAAAATTAATTATAAAGGTAATTGTAATGCTGTATCAATCACAAGACTATTTTTCATTGGCTTCGTTGTAACAGATATTTCGTTATATCTATGTTCGTTATGTCGATATTGATATATCAATGACTTTTAGAGCTTGGAAGTGCTCTGAAAGAAAGGAACACAGAGATGACATTGTGCGCATGAGAAAATTGGTTTTTCTGGTGAATTTTTTACAGACCGTTTTTACCATATGAGTTGGCAGCAATGCCCATTTTTTCAGTACTGCTAACAAAATGGGAATTGCATTTTTATTCTTGGGAAACTAATTATGCCTGCTGTCCATTGTCACTTCACTGATTTTAATTTCTAAATCTTGTTGCAGTGAATCCGGAGACATACGATGTCGAGTGGATAGAAATTGAAAATGGCGAAGAAGTAAGAGAACATTTGACGGTGCCAGCATCCGACCACATTCCTCTTGCTCAAAAGTACTTCCTATTCTGATGGGATGTCCTTGGTGGGTGTACATATGTAGATACATCGCTCCTCATTGTCATTCACCTATCCTGTGGTACAGGATAGTTTCAACTTACATTGTGCTCATCTATCAGTTAAGTTAACAAATCCCATCCAAGCTGTGATAACAGGTGACAAAAAAAGGCTTGCCTCAGGAATGCATCCATGTTTGACGTGCACGTTGCATGTTGTTAAAACGTACGTCTGCATCGTCACCTGTATGAACAAAACAGCGCATTTGTGGCCTATTCGATCCTGTCATCATGAGATCTGAGTCACAAGCTGTTTGAATGCTGATGGCTTGAGTGAAATGTTTATAGAGTGGGTCTGTTCACTTGTAACATAGTCAATAAAGTGTATTTGCCACACTGTGGCTAATGTTATGCCTCTCTTGACTCACTTTCAAGCATTTCATGGATGCAATGTCAATGCATGTGGTATAGTCCTACAGGTAGATATGAACTTTCTAGAGACCTATTTAATGGAGAAGAGGATTCTCTCATTTCTGGGCAGTTGCACAGGAGCACAAAAGCCGACGTCACAACCTCGGCAGTGCATTTTTGGTGGGTCACGCTTATCAATGGCCTAGAAACCATAACGGCTGCGTCCGAAGAGCCTTCGTTGACAAGATGCACAATAAGGACTGCATTACCAGCGAAGGCAAAAATCATTATTTCAAGTACATAGTACGAAGCTAATATTAGGGTATCAAAAAATAATGGGAAACCAACAAAGTAAAAAACTGGTGCGTCTTACACGGTATGTAGGAATAAACTATAATAGATGATTTTCTGAGTTTTACTGTATTGTTTTGTAGGAATGGAAACTGGGATATCAATTATAGGTAACCGACTATGGTTAACCTACTACTAAGATCGTATTTTCTAGTTTACACATGATACTATCTCAGAAGGAGGGAGCAAAAAGGGGCTTGAAAATTCTCGTTCTATGCGTGAAAACAGAATGCGATGATTTTGGTCGCTCTCTAAGCAAGAGTAAGAATGAAGCTATAACAAGTGGGGAACATGCGATTAAAATAATTGTATAAAAGGTGTAGAATGTTGTCTTTCTAGAATCAAGAATTAACAAAGTTCACATCTCTGCAAAAGAAATTCAGCCCAAAAATATATATAAAAGAAAGAGCATTGAACACTACAAGGTTACGAAAAACAGATGTTAGCCTCATAATTGAAAATGTCTGGTTGACATGCACATTCATCCCCTGGTCACAAGTGCGGCACGTTGTGGAGATATTGAAGAAATAAGCTTCAATCGCCTGAGCTATGGTGCTGGCTTGGATGTTTGAAGACTTTCCAACTGAACAAATATATTGTTCACTCGAGAGATCAGTCCTGAGTGCTTTTTGGAAGCAAAGATAATGAAACTGAAGATATTTCATCTCAGTCATGTTGTATGAGCTGCCACTTCAATAGTGTGATGCTAGTTCATGTGGAATGTGATAGGGTCAATCGCACACGAAATGGTTGTGTGACCTTCTTAACACCACAGGGAGACATCTTGGTGAGCCTAAAAGGACAGCAGAGAAAAGCTTTTTTTTGTATTGTTAAATTCATCATCATCATCATCATCAGCCTGACTATGTCCACTGCTGGACAAAGGCCTCTCCCATGTTCCGCCAGTTAACCCGGTCCTGTGCTTGCTGCTGCCACTTTATACCCGCAAACTTCTTAATCTCATCTGCCCTACTAACCTTCTGTCTCCCCCTAACCCACTTACCTTCCCTGGGAATACAGTTAGTTACCCTTAATGACCAGCGGTTATCCTGTCTACGCGCTACATGCCCGGCCCATGTCCTTTTCCTCTTCTTGATTTCAGCTATGATATCCTTAATCCCCGTTTGTTCCCTAATCAACTGTGCTCTCTTCTTGTCTCTTAAGGTTACACCTACCATTTTTTTTTCCGTTGCTCGCTGCGTCGTCCTCAATTTAAGCTGAACCCTCTTTGTAAGTCTCCAGGTTTGTGCTCCGTAGCTAAGTACTGGCAAGATACAGCTGTTATATACCATCCTCTTGAGGGATAGTGGCAATCTACCTGTCATAATTTGAGACTGCTTGCCTAATGTGCTCCACCCCATTCTTATTCTTCTAGTTACTTTAATCTCGTGGTTCGGCTCCGCGGTTGTTACCTGCCCTAAGTAGACATAGTCTTTTACAACTTGAAGTGCACTATTACCTATCTCAAAGCGCTGCTCTTTTCCGAGGTTGTTGTACATTACTTTAGTTTTCTGCAGATTAATTTTAAGACCCACCTTTCTGCTCTCCTTGTCTAACTCCGTAATCATGAGTTGCAATTCGTCCCCTGAGTTACTCAGCAATGCAATGTCATCGGCGAAGCGCAGGTTACTAAGGTACCCTCCATTAACTGTTATCCCTAACTGTTCCCATTCTAGGCTTCTGAAAACCTCCTGTAAGCACGCGGTAAATAGCATTGGGGAGATTGTGTCCCCCTGCCTTACACCCTTCTTGATTGGTATTCTGTTGCTTTCTTTATGAAGCACTATGGTAGCAGTTGATCCCCTGTAGATTTATTCCAGGATGTTTATATATACTTCATTGACGCTCCGATTACACAGTGTCTGCATGACGGCTGATATTTCTACTGAATCAAACACCTTCTCGTAATCTATGAAGGCTACGTATAGTGGTTGGTTATATTCTGAGCATTTCTCTATTACCTGATTGATAGTATGAATGGGGTCGATTGTTGAGTAGCCTGTTCGACTCCTGCTTGTTCCTTTGGTTGATGAATTCTAATGTTTTCTTTACTCTGTTAGCAATTACCTTTGTAAATAGCTTGTATACTACAGAGAGCAAGCTGATCGGCCTGTAATTCTTCAAGTCCTTGTCATCTCCTTTCTTATGTATTAAGATGATGTTAGTGTTCTTCCAAGACTCTGGTACTCTTCCAGTCAGGAGACACCTCGTAAACAGGGTGGCTAGTTTTTCTAACACAATCTGTCCTCCATCTTTCAGCAGATCTGATGTTACCTGATCTTCACCAGCAGCTTTGCCTTTTTGCATGCTCTCCAAAGCTTTTCTGACTTCTTCTATCATTACTGGTGGGGTGTCATCTGGGTTACTGCTAGTTCTTATAGTATTAAAGTCGTGGTTGTCCCGGCTACTGTACAGATCTCTGTAAAACTCCTCCGCTATTTTAACTATCCTATCCATATTGGTAGTTATTTCGCCTTCTTTGTCCCTTAGTGCATACATCTAATTTTTGCCTATCCCAAGTTTCCTCTTCTCTGCTTTGACACTTCCTCCGTTCTTCAGAGCGTGTTCAATTCTATCCATGTTATACCTTCTTACATCGCATACCTTACGCCTATTAATTAACTTTGAAAGCTCTGCCAGTTCTATTTTTTCTGTTGTACTTGAGACTTTCATGATGTGACGCTTCTTAATGAGATTATTCGTTTCCTGGGAAAGCTTGCCAGTGTCCTGTCTAACTACCCTGCCTCCAACTTCCACTGCACACTCCGTAATGATACTCGTCAGATTATCATTCATTGTATCTACGCTAAGGTTGGTTTCCTCACGAAGAGCCAAGTACCTGTTCTGAAGTGATACTCTGAATTCCTGTATTTTCCCTCTCAGTGGTAGCTCATTGATTGGCTTCTTGCGTATCAGTTTCTGTCATTCCTTCTTCAAGAATGTGATAGGGTTAATCGCACACGAAATGGTTGTGTGACCTTCTTAACGCCACAGGGAGACATCTTGGTGAGCCTGAAAGGACAGCAGAGAAAAGCTTTTTCTTGTATTGTTCAATTACTCTTCCACAATACCAAAAGCACCGCTATAGCAGTGAGAGGGCGTTTGCTAAGCAAAGCAAGACAAAAGAAGGAAATATTTGTAGCTAGCTCGGATTGACGTTCCCAGACTAACTCTCCACTTCATCGAAATATTAGATGGTGTCCGCTATAACCTGCGTAATTGAGTGTAAATATAAGGGTGCCAGAAGCTTACCTTGGCAAAACCTTTTTTTTCTTCTAGCAAACACACGCTGCTACGGACTACGCAGAGTCACACTAGACAATACGAACCAGGTGGTCCCACACAATGTAGCACCCGGCCCTGAGTGGTACAATGGTACCATTAACCTTTCGAAAAACCGGTATTTAGTGATAATGGGCATCAAACCCAGCACCTATAGCGCAGCGGGGGCTGATTTTGATAGCATCGCTGTCACTTGATCACCACAGCAATGGGGCCGAGTATTTGCGACCTCTTGTGCCTTGCTGATTGCCTCAAAAGTTTGTAATTACAGACTCTCAAAATATTGCTGAATTATGTCCAGAATAATACTCCTATGACGACGCTTTTTACCTCATCCAACGCTCTGCACACATTAGTTTTTTTTAATGTCGTAGCCAAGGCCTGGAAATTGATTTTAGTCGCTATAGTAGACAAGTCTTTATAGATTTCGTCAATTGCAGTACGCGTGCGCTCTTAAGGAAAAAAAAAAACTATGACAGCTCGCGGAAGCTTAAGTACACTCGAAGCGATCGAAGCTGGCCAGGCCGTATATATTTAATTCAACACATACGTGACAGGAAGAGGAGGAGGTTCGGAAGGGCCGGCTAAATTAATTGGGATTATTTACGGAGGCAACCCCGCGGATATAGGCGTAGTTATGGCGCGGGGGACGGCTCCCGAAACGACGCAATGTCTCGCGAATGACCGCTATTGGAGAAGAGGCAAACGCCGCCAAGGCCCGTTTGGCGTCTCTTTACGAATGAAAACGGTGATGTTGGGGAATAGTTCCCGATCACTTTCGTCCCCTCCCCCTCCCCTTCTTGCTTTGAAATGGTGCCATCAAACAACGAAACGGCGCCCCGCTCCCACTGGATATTGGGGCCGCAGACTCGTACAGGACCGAGGAGCAAGCAGAACGGCTGTTAGATGCCCCACCCTCCCCCTTTTTACCGTCTCGCGTACCGTCACCATCCACAGAGGACGGCCGCCTACGACCGCCAGAGCAGTTGTGCGGCGATCGTATTTACGACCGCCATACACGCGGGGCCGGCATTTCACCTTTGGATGGCCGTCCCCTCCCCAATTCCCTCAACATCTTCCCATTCTTCCCTTTCCTCATTCCTTTTATCGCTTCTGCTTCTATGGGAAAAGAAACGGGAAAGAAGGGAGCGCTGGGAAGACGCATGTCTACGCTCGCCTTGTAGCGTGCCCGATATAGGGATGCCGTAGGGATCACTTGTTCAATTCCCCATATCTGGTGCGCGATGCCGGAGAATAACGAAACAATTTCTTCCACGCTTCCCGGCCGGCCAGAAACGGGGAAAAAAACAAGAACACGCAGTTCTCTTCCAGCTCGAAGCATGGAAGTGCAAGGAATGAAAG